AAGGCAGACAGCAAGGGAGAAACACAGAAAGGAGAAGGAGCTGACATACGCCAAGAGCCTGAGGAAGAGGAGATCTTTCCTGAAAACTAATTACACCTCGCAGGTCACTTTCCCGTTGGCTTTGCCAGGCTCTCTGCAGAGCTGCTGCTCTTGGCCACCCACCCCACCACACCTTGCTCAGCCCCTGGCTCCACCCTCCTCAGAGAACAGCAAGAAAGATGCAGAACTGGGACTTCCTGCTGCCACCCAGGCCCAGAGAGATACTGCTAGTACAAACCCATCCTCTGACCTGATGGAAATGGAACCTGACACCATGGAAACAAAATCAGTGACTGACTCGGTGGTTTCTTCCATTTCAGCTGTTCGCCTGCAGGGTGACCAGCACAGGGAGGAGAGTGCAGGCATTGCCATGCATGTGGATGGTGGCCTCCAACCTGCAAATGCTGTACGTCCACCTTTCCTGTCCCTGGAGGAAGCTGTGCCCCTTCCTGGGGGACAAAGCAGGGCTGCCCAGGAAAGTTCCTCCATGAAGACAAATACTAGGTGGCCGAGTGAGCAGAGCTGTGTGGCCACTGGAGGCTGGCTGGCCCGAGTGACACTGGAAGAGGTGGGTGAGGCAATGGCAGCCCAGCACAAGGCTGGTGATGCACACCCATTCCTGAGCCAAGAGGTGACTTGCCCTGCTAATGAACACACACTGCCACCATCAGCTCATGGCCCCAGCGTGGCCTCTCTCCATGCGGTGGCCCAGGACCAGGAACTGCTCCTCACTGCTGGGAGGGAAGCAGCGTGTGAAGAGCCTGTCCCAGCTCCCTGTGAAGAAAGACAAGCTAATTGTGACAGCTGTGCTGAAAACAGCAGTGACAGTGCCCTGTCACAGGCAAAAAGCAGACAAGTGATAAACAAGGAGGCCTTACAGAAAGTGCACAATAAAAATCACGTGGGTTTTCCAGATGCAACTCAGCTCTTAACAGATTGCAGCAGCACTTCAGGGGTTATAACTCGCCTCTCCTGGCTCTCATCTGGAGTGAGGACAGACCTCATATCACCCAGCCCATCTCAGGAAAGGGTAGATATCCCACTGGAGCTTTTGGCCTCCCAGAAGACTAGTGGGTGCTTGGGGGCTGATGCTGTCAGAAGGGAGATGCAAACATCCCCAGCTGGACCGCCCTTTGAGAAAGAGTTGGTAAGCAGCCAGGGGCTGGATGAAGGAGAGCCCAGAAAAGACACAGGAAATGTGGCTCAGAAACAGCCACGGACTGTTCAGACTCCTTTTCCCAGAGAACAGGCTACTGAGGTGGGGAAAGACTCTCCTCCATCTCTAGGGCTTTCCATCTCCTCAGGCCCAATTCCATTGGGCTCATTGGAGAAAAGAGCAGGAGACCATGGGACTCCAAAACACTCCTTCCTCTGCTTTAACCACAAGAAGGATGAGCAGACTCCTCCTGACCCCATCATGAGCAGGTCCTTGGGGTTTTCCACGATGAATAAGACATCTCCGCCACAGCTTGAGATGGACAAGTGCAGCTGTCAGCTGTCCTATATCAGCTGCTTCCACAGGCCTGATGACAATGGGGAACATGAAACCACCATCCCCATGTGCAGCATGTTGCTGGGGCCCCTCACCACCCCACCATCCAGCAGCCGCAGTCTTCCTGGGACCCCTGTGGGCAGTTACCCAGTCTCTATTGCTAGGGACATGGCATGGTGGGACCCTCATGTCCAAGCCCTCAGCCAGCTGAAGGACCAAGCACGGATGAGCCCTGCAGATTTCTCCTGCTTCCTAGCCTACACCACAGAGCTTCAGGAGGTTGTGGGGAAGCTCTCTGGGAACCAAGCAACCCACCTGCAAGATCAATGTGCAGAGCAGGGTGCTGAGAGCAAGGGTGCCCTTGGCTTAGCCTCCCGGGACCTGCTGTCCAGTTGCCAAGAGCTCCTGAAAACAGAGCAGCCCCTCAAAGAGCTGCAGGGTACGCTGAGGGTGACATTCGACCACCTGGTTCAGCTGGCAGTGGCCTGCTTCCAGGTGACACACTGCCAGCTGTGCAGGCAGAGGCAGCAGGAGCTCGGGGCCGCGCTTGTGGATGTGGTGGGCACCTACCACCAGCTTGTGCAGGCTGTTCACCAGCAGCTTTGCAGGCAAGGTTGCCCAGATCTGGGTGCCAAGCTCCTCGCCCGCCAACACACGGCCCTTACAGCTGCCATGTTTTGTCTCCTGCAGCAGTTCAGGGTACCCCCGTTGTTGTGATGGGGCTGTTCAGTGGCACATGGGTGCACTGGGTAGGGAAGAGCCCAGCCATGTTCCCTCTGTCCACTACCAGGCTCTCCCCCACGGGATGTTTAGCCCCACAGCTCGAGAATGGTCACAGAAGGATGTGTCCATGCATATCAGCTAAGCTCCACCAAGAGCCGCTCTGTCTGGGGGGTGGTCATGGGGCAGGGCATACGGCCCTCCAGCCTAGTTTTGTGTAATTCTGTGTACACAATCCGTATGTAATATGCAAACTTGTAGGGTACTGCAGTGGCTTATGTATCTTGCCTGAGGCTTGTCCCTCACCTCCCACAGGTCTTGAAGGTGGCCAGTCTCAAGGTGGTGTCTTAGCCACCTTCTGTCGCCTGTGAAGGAAGGCAGGGGCCTTTTGGCCTGCCCTTCCTCCTGCTTCTTACTCTGCAGGCAGACTGTGAAGTAGAGTGATGTCAAATCCCACCCTGGCCCAATGTGAAGGAACCCAGGCTTCTTTGTCCCCCTTCTGTGGCTGAGGCTGTGTCTGGACTTGTACTGGAAACCTCTTTGGGAACAAAGCTATGTTTCATTTAATTGCTTTTCCTTGCAAGGGCTGAAGAGAGGGTTGTCCCAGGCGAGGGAGACACCATCATATGCTGCTCTTCTGATAAGTTTATGTGTGTCAGCCAGCTCTTCTGTTTGCTGATGCTTGAGAAAGTCCCTGATTAATCACCCATGCTACTTATGGATCCACATCTTCCAGAAGGAACGAGTATGCCCTAAGACTGAAATGCCACTTTCACAGCTGCGGAGATGATCCATTATGCTGGCCTCCCTAGGCAAAAGCAAGCCCCTTTCCCCAATCTTGTCAGTAGCTCTTCTTCCGTCATGTGCAGTATATCGCTAGCTAGGTATGAGCTGTTTGCCCTTAAAGGTCATCTAGCTGTGCATCCCTAGCGATTCAGCACTCCAGTGCTGGAGGCATGACCTCGGCACCCTCTGATGAAGAGAACAGAGGCAGGTCCCTGATTGCTGGTGTCTAACTTAGGGGCTTGTTTGGGGGCCCTGGCTTTCTCTGAGGGATGGCTGCAGCAGGTGGCTGTGTGCTGAGCTGTCACTGCAGCAGGTCGGTTGCCAAAACCCAAGTGTCCTCAGGATGGAGGGGTCTGCACCAGGCAGCAGAGGAGCATGGGGAGGTCACAAGAGGTGGCCAGCTCTGCCCGTGCACACCACATCTCCCCAAGCACTAGGGCAGCGTGGGGACAGGATTGTCCTGTGGCTCTGTAACATCTGAGGGAGGCCATCCCTACTTTTTGCTCATTCTTTGATGCTTCCGAAGGGAGTAGAGGGCAAGTCTTTGCAGCTGAAGCCTGGTGCGGAAGAGGATGGAAACTGGGGCAGAAGGGAGTGCTGCAGCACCCCTAAGGGACCTCCCTAACCAGGCAGACTCTAACAGCCAGGTAAGCAAACACCCACAGGAATTCAGCAACCTTTAGCAGCCAAACCCCCTTACAGCTGCTGCTCTCAGTGTGCCTGCAGGCAGCAAGCTGGCTAACCAAGGGCAGTCCGCTTTCCTGCCGCACAGGGACAGGATGACCTTCAGCCACTGGGGAGGGTAGCACTGCCACGTGGTTTGGGTTAGCGTATGCTGCTGCCTAGCAAACTCAGGGGCTCAATTAGAAAGTTAAAATTTCTTACACTGAAGCCCAAGTGCAGACTTCTAGCTACACACCAACAGCTGATGAGCAGGAAGACATGAAAAGAGCTGGAAGAGACCATGGGACACCAAAAGAGCCCATAGGGCACAGCAAAGCAACAGGCACCAGCAAACACAAATTCAGCCCATGTGGGGAGCAACACCCTCTGTCCACCAACCGCTTCTGCTGCAGCAGGCCTTACTGACACTGTCTCATGGGCACAATACCAGGTGTTGTAAAAGGCTCTTGATGTGAAGGAGAAATGAAAACACATAAGCACGTGAGATAGTAATTTACCTCAGAAGACCTTCAAGCCCTTCCACTGGTGGTTAAGCATAGTCATTGACTGAGAGTTTGTTTTGTTTTTTTTTATTGTAGCAACAATGGCTGAGGTAACGTATCAACTTAGATGCATCAGAAGTGCTTTCTGCTGTGGCTGTGAAATATGTCACTGCTCTTTGTACAGGCCACAGTCAAATCCCAGGTACCTTTCCAGGAGGAACATTGGGGTTAGTGAACTTCACGTGTCAGTGTGTGATGATGTACCATGCATGCATCAGTAACTGTAAGAATGCAATGGGAGTTTAAGAGTAAACATTTTATTTTAGATTAGATGCACAGGATTAGCGATAGGCTTCAACAACTCGCCAGATCTTCAATTCAACTGGTTTAAAGTTGTTAGGACATGGCACACCTGGGAACTGTTTCTCCACTGGGGAGTTGCTTCCCATCTTGTGTTCCCCAACTGGAACAGCACTGTCCTTTTCCATGGGAAGGAATTTTCCTTGCCAGTGAGCTTTGCAATTCTGACTTCACCTTACTTACTGTTTAATCAAGATTAAATACCTTAAAAGCTGTCCTCCCTGTCCCAGCACAAGTGTAGATGCAAGAGTCAGAAACACTCTAACAAGCATCTGCAAAGAGCCAAAACTGAATTCCTGCCAGTTTTTACTTGATCCCAGGGTTCCATCAGCTTTTGTTTTCTGTTCAAGGGGAAAAGTAATTTCTAGCATTGTACTGCTGAGGTAGAATGTGTCACTCTTCACAACGTCCTTAAGATTTAAGCAGAGCTGTTTTCTTTATGCACATTCATGCTGATGCCTCTGCTTGACATTTGGAGTTTGCCTCTCTTGTCTGCACAGCTCCTTAACATCACAAAATAAAGAGTTTTCTTGTGCATTGTCATGCTGAGGTATTTCCACTTCTTTCACTGCATCTGGTAGCACATAGCCTTTTCCAGAAGAAACTCCAGCTTTCAAGGCTGCTGGCCAGCTTCGGGTCTCATAGTAAGTTGATAAGATGTCAAAGACTGTCAGGAACAGAGAGATGTACCATGCTGTGACACCAGTATCAATAGCAAGCTCTATAATACGCACCACACTGGCTGCACATCAGGAAATGACAATAGCTGATGCCAGAGAAAGTTAGCACGGGGTTTGCATTCCCTCTCATTTAAAATCTGATGAGCAAGTGTTTAAGGCAGCTCACCTAGGAGCAGATGACTATTCTCAAGATGACTTTGGGGAGCTCTAGCTAGGAAAAGCAGAGGCTGTGTCAACTAAAGCAAGGTGCCCCAGTCACCATTTTGACTAACCTGTACTGCCAGTCTGTGCTGCTGATGACAGAACACCCATTGTGGGTCATACCTACTGTGCTTCCACCATTGCTTCTCAGATGCTGTGTCATCACGGCTCCCTTGGGACACACAGTGGTCTCTAGCAGTTAGGCTGGTTGCTCTGCAGAGCCCTCTGCTACCTCCTCTGCCTTGTGCTGACAGAGATGGCAACAAAGTCCTCGTGCCAGAGGTAACAACTTACCAGAGCTGGCCTAGGACATGAGCCCCTCCATAGTCCCTCGCAGAGAGGCGTTCATATTACAAAGCCCCAGACTGCCACCAGAGGTGGAGGAGCATGGGCACATGCACCGATGTGACCCGGTGGCCCAGCCCATGGTCATGACATGGGGCCATCACAGTGGTATAGCACACAAACATCCCACCCTGGTGTTTTTAGCCTTGTCTTTGTTGAGCCTGACACAGGCCTGACAACTTAGACTCACAGAATCGTTTAGGTTGGAAAAGACCTTTAAGATCATCCAGTCCAACCATTAACCTACACTACCAAGTCCGCCACTAAACTAATTAAGGGTAGAGTAATAATTTCATGTTTCCTGGCTTGGTGGCTCGATTATTTTTTAATGAAAGTAAAAACTAGGAATCATTAAGGTTGGAAAGGATCTCTAAGATCATCAGTCCAACCATCAACCCACCACCACCATGCCCACTAAACCATGTCCCAAAGTGCCACATCTACCTGGTTTTTGAACACTTCCAGGGATGGTGACTCTACCCCTCTCTGGACAGCCAGTTCCAATGCTTGACCACTCTTTTGGTGAAGAAATTTTTCCTAATATCCAATCTAACCCCCCCTGACGCAGCTTGAGGCCATTTCCCCTCATCCTATCGCTTGTTCCTTGGGAGAAGAGCCCAACACCCACCTCACTACACCCTCCTTCCAGGTAGTTGTAGAGAGCGATAAGGTCTCCCCTCAGCCTCCTCTTCTGCAGGCTAAACAACCCCAGTTCCCTCAGCCGCTCCTCATAAAACTTGTGCTCCAGACCCTTCACCAGCTTCATTGCCCTTCTCTGGACATGCTCCAGCAACTCAATATTCTTCTTGTACTGAGGAGCCCAAAACTTCTGGTCTTCGCCCTTGCCCGGGACCTTGTGTGACTTCCAGCAACAGCAGCCTCCTCCCATCACGCCACACTAACTGTTCACTGCTTTGTGCAAAGCAGGAGTGATGCAAGTCCTGTTCCTCTGAGAACAGGCTGATGCAGAGAAGCACACAAGACCTTAAAATGAGGGCACTAGGGATAAAACCTAGTAAGAGAAACCGCTGCTTCCAGTGTTTCCTGCATTAGTTAGCACCAGGCTTCCATTTTGAAAACCTGCTGCTTGATAGCCTCCCGCCTCCTCCAGCCCAGGCAAGTGACAGGACATGGCTCAGCCTCTCACCTTGATTAATTGCCAGTGTCTCCGAATGGTAGTTCTTGGTGTTAACGGTTTTCACCATGTACTCACGAATGGGGAGGCGTGCTGTTTGCAAGGACTGCTCTTGCGCCCTTTGTAGAGTCAGCTTCTGCAAGGGAAACAAGAACAAGGTGTCCAAACTTGCACATCCATAGCATGTGCAGCATTTTGGGTACAAGCAGCTATGAAGCCGAAAACCGTCCTGGGGCTCATTTCACCCAGACTGCTGCAGTCTCTCTCAGCCTGGTACTGGATCCAGGTAGAATCGAGGAAAAATGGATGGTGGCACAACAGTGTTGTGTCAAATCAAGGCAGCAGCAGCACAGGGATTTATCTGCTTTCATGAGAAAATGAGGTAGCCAGCACTTTCAGGTTCCGACAGGCTACTACCCACCTTGTGAATACTTTCATCCACCAGGCCTCCGAGGACATACACTTTATTTGGATCAATATCTTCAAGAACTAGAAACAAGACAAGCACTTGCTCACCACCATAAAACAGTAAATTCCTGTCCTACACCATTCCCCAAGCAAAACCCCACTTCCATGAGAAAGCTGTGGCCAGAGTCACCCTTAACCCTGGAGCCTCAGACCGTGAAGGAGGCTGAGGCTTCAGAGACAGAAGCATCTGCCTGAACCCACGGGCAGACTGAAAGAGGGAAATCAGATGTAGGCTGAAAGCACGGAGTGCCAGAGATACCATACATTGCTCCCTTTAAGCACTGTCTGTTCTGAGATGTGGCTGATCTGGTCAGTCTGACCCCAATCTGCTCCGGAGATGCCTCCCCCCTGTCAAGATCACCTACTAGAACCTTCCCCCACCCTTACCAGATTCTTTATCAGAGTAAGGCACTTCCATAAAACAAGAAAGGGACCTACATTCCCAGGAACATGTGGCTGGTTAGAAATGTAGGAAGAGGATAAAATAAACACAGCAGCAAATTAAGCAATAAAGGGAACATTGTAGCTCCTGCATTCTTTCAGAGAAAGATGTCATTTAGACTGTATTCAAAACTGCCACAGCATCTCCACTTCACCACTTTGTAGTACTACAAACTGCAGGGGGTCTACACACAGGTTTTAAGTTAAGTCTGCTGCAAATCACATACAGCCCTGACTCACAATCTCATTCCCTGTCAAAACAGATTGAGATATTAATAGATTTAGCATCGGACCTAAGTACACAGTGCATCTCATGCAATTTGAGACAGCGAATGCTTGGAATTCAGTATGAATAGTCTCAAAAAGAAAAGCTTAAAAATCAACCTTTTGCCCTGGTTCCCCTGTGCAAGTAAAATGTTTACCATTCTCAGAGTCAGGAGTGAGATAAACAATTGTATCTAAAGGAAACAGGTCCAGGTAACTTTCTTGAGTTGTATCCATCTGAAAAAGAGAAGCAGCCCATTAGCCACAGAAGCAGCTCCATCTGCCAGAGCAAAACCCACTCTCAGAAACACACTGGAACTGACACTACTGCCTTAAGTGTTTAAACTGCTACAGATAGAGTGTTGTTTTTTTTAATTTGGAAAATGCTTCTATGTGGGCACTGAACAATACATATCTGAAAAATCCATTAAATTCTCTTCTCATCAAAATCCCTAGATGTTGTTTGAGGAAGGGAGATCAGCAACAATAGCCTAATTTTAAATGAGATTTGAATTCTTGAGAGATTCAGGAATCTCCACTTCAGGTGGTTTTCTCCCCTCACTGTTACCAGGTGCAGCCCCACAAACGCTGTAGAACACACGGCTCAGTGTCACTGCCATAACCTGTATGTGTGGGTCTCGTGCTCAAGTCAGAACAAGCTCGGTACAAAAAAACAGGACAGGAATGCGTGACCTGCCTGCCCAAAGCCTGACCAAGCTTATGTGTCTTCCTGTCCCCAGTACCACAGGTGTCTTTGCAGAAGTAGCATCTGGAGAAGGAATTCTCCTCCTGCAGGCAGGAAGGACATGAGCTCTAACCAGAAGGCCTTGCTCATCACCCCATTATCTGTCAGTTCTTGTCTCCTGCCAAAGGGCAAGAAGATCTGACCTTACCCACTGTCACTGAACTGCACTCCCACCATCCGAGCCCACCTCAGGCTGTCTTGGGTCAACACTGAGGGCCAGCACTGTGACTGTGGAGTGCTATGAGTCTTGAAAGCACAGTGGTCAGAGACCCTTACCAAATAATTGGAGAAGCCGTCGTTCATGCGAAAACACTCCTCATAGATCAACGAGCCCACCACAAACTCCGTCAGACAGAGCCAAAACGGCTTCTCAGCCCGCCTGTTTGCCCCGTAGAGTCTCCTGATCTGGGAGGCAAGGCGGCTTGTTTCCTTCCAACAAATAACAAGCACAGTGACCCACAAGTCTAGGGGCAGGAGGTAACACAGCTCAATTCAGGACCTACGGACATGCATCGTGCCCCTGTCACCGGCTGGTTGTTCAGGCTCTGGCGAGGCTGTTCCTGGGGAGCACAGCTCAGCTGCCTCTGGGTCTCAAGGAAACCCAGCGAGCTGGGTGTGCAGCCAGCAGTGCTGGAGACCAGGCAGCCAGGGGCAGGCCCGGGGATGGAGGGACAGGCATGGATGGCGGGGGGCCAGCATCTCCCCAGAGGCTGAGCTCAGGAGAGCGGCTGCGTGTGCACCCTCACACATCCCGGCTCTAGCTGAGCAGGAGGGTTTCTTAAGAGTTCCCCAGCACAGCTAGAACAAACCTGTGACCTGCCCCAGCCTCCCCGCAAACAGCGCCTTCCAAAAGCAGCACAGAGCAGGCCACTTTCCAGAGCACAAGCAGAGAAGAGCAGCCACCAGGCCGTGCCGAGGCCATGACGGGGCACATCCCCGGGATCTCCGAGAAGTTTCCAGACCCTGGAGAGGGACTGCGCGGGCAGGCAGGAGCAGCACCGCTGCAGCAGGCAGGGGCTCCGGTACCTTCTGCGTCATGCGGTCAGCCACACCGAGGTCCACGCAGAGCCGGGGCCCTGAGGCCCTGGCCT